TCCAGGACTCAAAACTATGATTGCTGTGAAGGCTCAAGTCATGTCAGGATTTGGCGGGTCTGAGGCCATTTACCACCTGCTCTTTTTTACTCACCACAGTTATTTAGGAGCTGTGTGTCCACAGGAATTAATCAACAATTATTTTGAGACAATGCATATTAGAACAATTTCAATATTGTAAATAGTTCATATTTCTCTTCACAGTAATTGTGTTGACAGCTTGTTACTCATTAAGTGTGTGAAGTTAGATAATGCTTTGTTTTCTACAGTACCAGCACTATCGAAGTCATTATAAAAATCAGTGGAGAAATATAGCTGAACTCAACTGAATTTTCCATCACACCGTAGGGATTCTCATTTGTCCTTGAATTTTAATACAAGATATTTAAAAACTGGGTGAAAAAATTAATAATTTGTAAAACCTCCTAAGAGAAACTGTTGTTTCTGGAACAAAACAGTGCCACGATATGATCATGCTTTGAGAAGTTTAGAAGTCATTAGTGGAAGGAGCCTTTCACACGGCTGGGGACAGTACCCACTGGCGGCCGCGCCACCTGCTGCCCTGTTCCAGGTTGTTCTCAAGTGGGTGCTGGCTGCTCACATCACTAATCCCAGGTTACAGTAAATATTAATATTGACTATGTCCCTCCTCTGGGTAGGCTTCTGATGTCCCCCTGCTGCTATTCTCCCAGTAAGGCACTTCCAGATTCACTAGTACCTGCTTCTCTCCTGGGACCACCCCAATGTGAAATGGGAAGCAGATGAGGTTCAGGACTAGGAAAGAAGGGTGGGAGGCACTGCAGGCTCACTGCTTTGCACGACACACTTGGCTACCCTGTACAGGTTCACCCAGACTGTGGGTGAACCCTCCTAGAGGTTCACCCAGACTGTGGCCTTTCCTGTCTCATTCAACTTTCAGGTCAATCCTCTAAAGAAGAAACTCACACATTTTACAAACTGAAGCTGGCTTAGAGGGGTGAAATAACTTGCCTAAAGTCACATAACCAGTATAAATGTTAGAGCTGGGTCTGTCAGACACTTACCCACTATGGCCCAGGTCTCCAGTTTTGATAACACAGCTTCATGAAAAAGAAAACGATGTTTGATCTTAACTGTAACTGTTTATGTGTGACATGGGCACTACAGTATTAACACAGTGGAACTGCACACAAGGCACAAAACATGAAGACGGAAATTTCAAGAGGATGAGTGCCAGCCAGTGTTCTCTCACTTCCTTTCTGCACCCAGTGAGTTGACTTGCTGACCTAGAGGGCATGTGCCCGAAACCTGGAAACACCACACCCTGCTGCCCTGCCGGAGCCATGCAGCCAGTCTTTTAGCTCTGCTCTGCATGGGAGAAATCTGTAATTTAAAGTTTTCTAGTAGACACATTAAACAAAAAAAAGGAAAAAGGAAAAGGAAAAATTAATTGGAATAATATATTTTTCTATACTCTTTATTTCACACTAAGTCTTTGGAATCTGGTGTGTATTTTACACTTCTAGCACATCTCAATTTGGAAGAGCCACATTTCAAGTGTTCAAGAGCCACATGTGCTTAGGGACAGTGGACAATGCAGTTTTCATTTCTGCTCCATGCTCCTTCTACTACCCTCATGACATGCCAAAGAACATTTCCAGAATAGCTTTCTAATCTAAAAGGGGACCAAGAATTCTGTAGTAATACTGAACTAACTATGTAACTATAGCATAGAATGTACTCTCAAATGTTGAACTGAGCGAATTATTCAAGTATGAAATTAATTTTATAGAACCTTGAGTGTCAAAATCATGGAATTTAGATTACAGAACATCAAGTGTTACGTGCTAATGCCTATTAGTGAGTATTGAAGTTGTGTGTTCCTTGTGAGAATTATAGTGAATGCTTTTTGCTGAAAGGATCTAATATAAAATTGGAAAAACAAAGTTCTTAACTTCATTAGTCTTAGCCTACAACATTAATATGCAGCTTACATGGAATTCTTAGGTTTGATAAAGGTGGTCCAAGTCTGATAAGGTAACACTTTCAGTTCAGATGGAAGCTTAATTCCTAAGGGAGTTGAAATCATCACGAAGTATTAGATTTTTAAATACTGTATATGGGAAATATTAATAGGAATAAGTTCCAGCAATTGAAATCAAAATGATGACTAAAGGGGAGTTGAAAGGCAGTGGCACAAAGTACAAAAGAGAATGCCTTAGAGCCAGTGTGAATTTGTACCACTGCTCAGTGCTGAGAGCTTGGATAAGCCATTTAACTTGTCTGAACCTGTATGCAAGGGCACGGCATGTTTAGACTTGAACTTTGCAGTACGTCAGGGCATGCTGAGAGAGGAGAGAGAACTTATGTGAAGTCTGTGGAAAAGCACAGAGCACACCGTAAACTCTCAATAACTGAAGGTGAGCTCCTTATTAATCCCCACATGGTGATGATGGGAAAATCTGTTATGCTAACTGGTAACTGGTTTATACTAGATTTCTAATTCTTAGACATATACTGTTGTACATAAACCAGTGTTATAAAATATGCATGCTATAGGCCAAACTGTGTTTCCCCCAAAATCATATGTTTAAGTCCTAAAACCAGGACCTCAGAACATGACTGTATTTGGAGACAGGGCTTTTAATGAGGAGATTAAGTTAGCACGAGGCCTTCTGTGGGTCCTAATCCAATTTGACTGGTGTCCTCATAAGAGAGGAAATCTGGATGCACAAAGAGACATCAGGGATGAATACGCACAGAGGAAAGGCCATGTGAGGACACAGAGAGAAGGGGGCCTTGTGCAAGTCGAGCAGAGAAGCCTGAGAAGAAACCACATCTGCCAACACCTTGATCTTGGGCTTACAAGCCTCTATAACCATGAGAATATAAATTTCTTCTGCATAAGCCACCCAGTCTGCAGTATTTTGTTATGGTACTTCCAGCAAATTGATAGAGTGCATAAAACCAGTTCTTCATCCTATTCTGTAATATAACCGCTTCATTTCAATTTACAATAGAGCAGGTGCTTAGCTGAGGCTGAGAGCATGGGAGAGGAAAACTCAAGCAGTCAGACGGGCCCAGGTTCAAAGCTGGGCTCCTTTACTTGTGAACTGCATAATCTTAGACAAGTCAACTGATTATTGTGAACTAGAGTTTTCTTCTTCTTTAAAAGGACTGATTTTTTCCCCACAGGTTATGGGAAGTAAGTGAATATTCAGAATAGCTAATAAACAGTGGTTTCTGCATTTGCAATGTATGCAATTCTCATACAGTTCTCAGTATTCCTTCAGGTAACGTGAGTTATAGCACTGAAAAGATCACTTCAAAGAAGGCACAGATAGGCTGTCATGCAAGATGTTTCTTTAAGTGAGTCTTGTCTGACATTTAAAGGGCTTGTAATTTATAATGTATAATGATGGACCAGCCTCTTAATTTCTCTGCCTCTAAGCTTACCATGTGTCAGTCCAGCCTCTATACTGTCATCTAATGTTCATTAATCTCTTAATCCAAGTCAAAATGCACCATACCCTTGCATGTAATTCCTCAATAGCTCCCCACTGCAGTCTGCAGTATCAGGCCTCATCTTTGTATTCCAAACATTGAGCATAGCACCTAACACATAGTGGACATCCCATAAATGTTGGCTGAATAAATGACCAAAAGAATTAATGCCTGTAATGATATTAATATGTTATCATAACTGATGGTAGAAAGACTTGCTTGATAAGCTTTCTAACTCTGGGATCACATTTTGGATTAGATCTTTACCTCTCTGAGCCCCTGTTTCATCATCTGTAAAGCAGGGATACATTAATTCCTGCTGGTGTCATTTGGATTAAATGAGCCATGTGAGTAAAGGATTACATTCCACGTGTGATTTCTGGCAAATTAATCTTGTGCTCTGCAGTCCTTTCCTTCCTCTATATAGTGGGAATGGCATCCCATACTTCATAAGGTTGTGGGGACATTTAAGTGATATACGAGATGTAAGTCTTGTCCAGAATCTGTTAGTGGCAGTCACCTAGGGCATGCCAACACCCTCAAGGATATGAACGTGATGCAGAAGGCTTCCAGTGGAGAGTCAAAGTCTGAAGACTGCTTAATTACTACAAGTTATATAAGAAAGAAATTCGGTATGAGCAAAAGTAAATAAATACATACATATATACCTATCAACCTCAGTACCCAAGTTAACAAATAAGAATTAGGAGTATCTATCTGTTCAAAGATTGCCTGGCAACACATGTGTTCAACAGTGCATTTTTGCTTCATCAAAATAATCACATAGTCTCTATTTTTTATGCTTCATAAAGCATTTTATTTTATGCATATCTATCTCTGTCCTCCACTTAGAATTTTAGACACAAAGTAAGAAGTTCCTAGGCCTTTAGGAAAACATTCTGAAGAGAATAAACACTGATCTCATATATCTATGAATATCGAGGTGTATCATCAAAAGCGGTAACTACAAAGCTGTTCTGCCTCTGACAACGTGTACTTATTTCTGGGTAAATATTTTGTTAGAAAATGAATTGATTGGAACTAACTCATTATTCACAAACAGGAATTTGAAGTTGTTAGAAAACAGGAGCCCTGCTGCTAAGAAAGGGAAATTTCTTTGAATATGAGACAAAATGTTGGCATTTTCTTCCCCTGGCATTGAAATATAGGATATTTACACATTTCTGTTGTGATTTAAGGACCTTAGGACTTAACTAGTCACTGACTTTATAGACATTGTTCCTCTTCAGAATATACTGAACACTTAAGTCACACTTTTAGAGTAAATAAAAATTTCAATTTTTATTTCCCAAACCTTACTGCTAATACACCAGTAAATTTGGGAGGAGTAATGTTAGTTGGCAGGACAGATGGTGCTTCCCCAGTTAAAACAACCAAAACCAAAGCTGCCCAAGACAAACTCTCCTCCCGGGCTGACCATCCTCCTTTCCCCAGAGTATACAGTGCAGAAGGGCACAGCACGCACTAGGGGTCTCGTCAGAAGGATCACCTCTTACCTCTGGACTGGGGTGCTGTAGCTGTTCTCATAGGAGTCATAACTCTGTTCATCGTAGGCCGTGCCATATCCATCATCATAGTCCTAAAATAAAACAGGAGAAGTACAAAAACATTCAGAGAAGTTTCTGGAAAGAGAAAAGCATTCTGCTTTCAATGAATTAATTCATCTAGCATTGAACTATACATCTAATTACAGTATAAAGAAGAATATCACTGAAAATGATGGAGTAAGAATTGCCAAAAATTCTCTCTTTAAAAGCAAAGATAAACTGGCAGAAATTGTCATCAGAGTCAACATTTTCTCAACCATGGAAGTTAACCAAAAGCTTGCAGAGATATAGAGAGCTCTAATTTTTAAAAAACTGGATGACCCTTGGTTTGAATAGTGAGCTTTGTGATGTTTTAACTTGTCTTATTCTCACTCCTCACACTCAGCTCTGCAGGAGCCTTGAAAACCAACAGGATGGGGCAGAGAGTGTAGAGCTCTTTCAAATTCCCATTCTTAGAGGATTGCCTTTATCTGACCTCATAATTAAAGGCAATTGTTTAAGATTTCAGCTTAGGTGATGAAAAAGAGACTAGACCTAACAACAAACTAATAAAAAAGTCACAAGGAAAAGTGGGCAAATAAAATGTCCATACGAGCTTTGAAAAGCTCTGACATATTCCTAGGAATCTAGAAGGCTACCTGCATGCACAGTATATGCTGAGAATTTGATTTTAGACACATTACATTAAATATCCAGTTTTAAATAAAAAACATGTGCTATCCAAAGAAACAGGAAGGAAAAAAGTAACCAATCGTAACTGTCTGAGGCAGCTATTGAACTTACTGGACAAAGAGTTTAAATTAGTTCTTTAAAATATATTCAAGGAACAAAAGGATACTTTGTATCTAAATAACTAAAGAAAAATATGAGAACAATGCCTAACCAAATAGAGAGAACTAATATAAAGTAAATAAAAGATTCCCAAGAAATTATTGAATTGTAAAGTATAATAACTGAAATGAAAAATTCACTAGAGAGGTTCAACAACAGATATAACTAGGCATAAGAAGGAATCAGTGAACTTATAGATCAATTGTGATCATTCAGTTTAAGAAACTAGAAGAATTAAGAAAAATGAAAAGGATCTCAGAGACCTGTGGGACACCATCAAACATGAACATAAGCAGTGCGACACCCAGAAGGACAGGAGAGAAAGGAGCCAAAAGACTATTTGGAGAAATAATGGGTAAAAACTCCCCAGATTTAATAAAAACATTTAATCTGCAAGTCCAAGGAGCTGGACAAATTTCAAACAGGATAAAATCAAAGAGACTCACACCTCGATACATCATAATCAATATGTTGAAAAACAAAGAATTTTAAAGCAGCAGAAGAGAAGATGGTCATCATGTTCAAGATAGTCTCACAATATCAAAAGCTGATTTCTCATGGAGACCAGAAGACAGTGGGATTCCACACTGCAAGTACTAAAAGAAAAAGACTGTCAACTAGGAATTCTGTATCCAGCAAAACTAACATTCAAAAATATAAAAATTATGTTCCCAGTTTAACAGAGAATTCATCAACAGCAGATATGCTCTATAAGAAATAGTAAAAGGAGTCCTTCAAGTAAAGTGAAAGGTTATTGGACAGTAACTTGAATTCATATGGATAAATAAAGAACATTGGATACAGGTAACTAGATAAATATAAAGTGAGTAAAATGTATTTTTTGTTGTAACTTTTTTTCTCCTACTTGATTTAAAAGGCAACCATATAAAGAAATAATTACACATCTGTGTTAATGGGCTCACAATGTATGAAGCTGTAATTTGCATAACAAAAACAACAAGAAGGTGGAAGGTGAGAATGGAGGTATAGAGGAGCGAAGCTTTTGTGTATTGTTAAAATTAAGTTAGTATGAATCTGAAAATGACTGATATTAGTTAAGATGTAAATTGCAATCTCCAGGGCAGGCTAAGAAAATAATTAAAAAATAGAAAAGTAGAAAAATAAATGACAATGGAGTTAAAGTGGTGCAGTAAAAAATACCTATTTAATCACAAAAGGAGGCAGCAAAATACAAAAAAGACATAGAACATATAGAAAACAAATAGAATAACGGAAGATATAAATTCTACCTTAAGTAATCACACTAAATACAAATGGCTAAACATACAATTAAAAGGCAGAAATTGACATCACGTTTAAAAAACATCCAACTACCTGTTGTCTACAAGGGACACACTATAGATTCAAAAATAAAAATATGTTTTAAGGATGGAAGAAGAGTTACTAAGGAAATACCAATCAAGAGAACTACCACAGCTATGCTAACATTGGAGAAAATAGACTTTAAGACAAAAATTGTTACTAGAGAGAAAAGACATTTATAGTGGTAAAACAGTGAATCTATCAAGAAAATAAAATTACAAAATGTATGCACATATCTAAGATCAAACTAGATGTAATTCCACGACATGTACATTCATGAAAGTATAAATCCTACCCTAAAACTGATTTCTAAGTTTCTGGGGTTATTAATTTATATTCTTAGTGACTTTGGACTTATTGGTATTTACTTAATATTTAAGTAAGCCTAAAAATAGCACCTAAATATCTTGGAATTATACCAGTATTATCAGTCCTAATCAATTTAATGACCACCACCAGACCTCTTGAAATAGAGAAATGTGGTGAAGGGGTAAGAGAAAAGATCTGGAGTTAGATGGGCTTCTGAACTTTACTATCAATGATTTTAGACAGTCTCATTCACTTATCAGATTTTGTTTCTTTATCTGTGCAATGTGAATCCTTATAATTTTTTGGAAGGGGTAAGAAATTACATATGCATCTCATATATACACACACATGCATACATACATATATATGTATTTGTATTATATATTATCGTATTATATATATGATGTATTTAATGTATCTTTATAAAAGATAACTTGGGTTATTAAAGGAAAATTACTAATTTAGCTATGATCTCCCAATGCAGAGGAGAAAGCTACCAACAAGATATAAGCAGAAAAAAACCTGATATGATTTTAGTTATGTAAGTTTAGTTTAGTTAGAAGCATCATGCAGATATTAGTAGTAATTCTGGTGAACTAATGAATTAAAAGAAATTAATTAATTAATGGATTAAAAGAGGCTCTAATGAAAGGAGCAATCTTACTAAATTAAAAGAAAATCCTTCACCCAGCGCCTCCCCTGTTCCTGGCACTCTCCTAGACACCATGGATAGAAAAGCAGCAGCGCAGTCCAGTGGGCAGGCTAGCATGAGGTGGGTGGGAGATGACGCACACCAGAGAGCGGCTACCCACCCAGCAGATGCCGCGGCAAAGGTGGGCTTTGCGGTGGCACGAACAGCCCAGGTGGGAAAGGGAAGGTAGGAGGAAATGCCCTCCAAGTGTTGATGACAGAACTCAGTTTCAAAGCAGAGAAAAGCAAAAGTGGCTGGGAAAATACATTAAAAATAAAACTCAAGCAGAATGAACAGTAGGTGCAAAACGATGGACACATGAGAACCCTTCTCATCCAGGGAAGCAAACAGCTTGTTGTGGGTACATTTGTAGGATGAAAGCAGAAGAAGGGAGAGCAATCAAAAGGAGAAACCCACAAACCAGATCATGAATAGCAAGGCAGGAGTGTGGATTTGGATTCTGAGTGGCATGATCCCCCTTGTTTTAGAAATCTCTCTTGAGTAACATCTGCGGGCATGGATCAGCGAGGGTACAGCTGGATGGTTAGATGTGCAACTAAGTACCTGCACCGAGCAGTTTCCTCAGATGACCCAAAGTGAGGAAACTGGGCATTATATAAACTTTCAGCAATATACTAAGTGTTCTCTGAAAGAAGCTCAGAAGAGCTCCCTGATGTTATTACAATACCCTGCAAAGAGGGTTTATCCCCTTTTTTTCACTCCTGTACTTGTGAGGCAGGTATGGGCACTGGAGAGACACTTACCTCTAACAACACACTAAACCATTAGTCTACACCAACCTCCAGGCACCTTTGTCTGGACAGAATCAGTGCCTCCTGCTTTACCATCCCAGTGTCATTCCACCTGGCCAGTACATCTTTATATTTTATCTCCTAGATCTCCCTCATGCCCACCCACCCTTCCTCTCCATTCCCAAAGTGATTATACTCTAACCGTCAAGAAGTTCTCCACTGGAGTGTGATATACTAACCTTCTCCCGGGCTTTCCCCTCCTCTCAAATGATCCGACCTTTCCACCCAAATTATCCTCTAAATGTGAATCTGAGCCTATTGCTTTCCTGCTTACACATCTCCTCTCTCCTGTTTCTATAAGATAAAGAACAAATTCCTAAGCTTCTCATGGTCTTGCCCTTAGCAACTTAGCCAGAGACGATGCACTGCATGCTTTGTTCTTGAGTTAAGGGCTGTGAAGCAGCTTTGCCATTTCATTCTGTAATTTCTCCTACATGCCATTCCCTCTGACATCACCTTCCAGGTCTTCAACCAAAAGACTTTAGGCTGAGCCTCCTCCCCTAAAAATAGTCTTTTGAGAAATTCATTTTTGCAGGGGGTTTTGAATAATAACATCCTCGTCGACTATCACCAATGACCATGAACATATCACATAACCAAGTTATTTTATAATTTAGGAAAAAAATCACAATATTGCTAATAACACTAGCTATGAATTTTTCCCATAATCACTTAAATAAAAGATCATTAATTCAACAATCAAATTACATCCCCAGGTGTTTACTTATGGCTATAGGAATATATATTATAAATGCTTCCATGGTAACTGATGGCCTGCATATACATGGTACCTGCAATTGTTTCTCTGCTTTTCTCTCCCACTAACTAGTCTGCAAGATCTTTACAGGTGAGTAAAGCCCAGGACTTGTTCTCTGGTATTCTCACTGCCTTAAACAGGAATGTATGCTGAATGAATAAATGAAGAAAGGAACTAATTAAAGACCAATTGGCAGGAAATTCAGCAATAGCTTTTATAAGATGAATACAAATGGAGGTGATATTGTAGAACAAAATGCAATATTTATTAAAATAATGTAGAATTTGATCATGAGACCTCACCTGAATT